CAGACTCGAAATCCTTAACTCCATCTCCATAACCCACAAATACACCCTTCTTTGCCCTTCTGTTCAGTTTACCATCATCCACATGATAATAAACAGGACACCCAAAAACTTTCAGTGAAGAGTAATCAGCAGGCTTACCATACCACACTTCATAAGGAGTCTTAAAATCGATGCCTGTGTGAGGTCCACGATTGATCAGGAAGCACGCCATGTTTACTGCTTCTTCCCAGAATCTTCTCTCCCGTCCAGCATTAGAGAGCATGCATCGTGCTCTCTCCAACAATGTCTGGTCCATCCTTTCTACTGCTAGAACTTCATGAAAGCCTCACTTTTCTACTTCATCATGAAAATCCAAGTAAATCTTGATAAATCATCAATAATAGACAGAAAATACTTGCTTCCTCCAATGGATTCAACTCGTAAAAGACCCCAACAGTCGGAGTGGAGGTAATCCAGTATCCCCTTCGTCCGGTGGATACCCTTCTTGGGAAACATGTTGCGATGTAGCTTCCCAAATACACAATGCTCACGGAACTCCAAATTCTGCACCTTGTGCCCGCAAAGAAGATCCCTCTTCGATAGAACTTGCATCCCCCGTTCAATCATATGCCCCAGTCTAATGTGTCAGAGAGTGGTCATATCTTCCTGATGAACTTGAGACGATGCAACTGCAGCAGAACCTGACAACACATTTCCTTGTAATGCATACAAGGTACCACGTTTCATGCCTTTTAGTACCTTCCTCGAACCCTTGCAGACATACACAACTCCACCTTTTCCTTTGAAGCTGAAGCCCTTGCTGTCGAGTAGACTCAAGGAGACAAGGTTATTTATCATTCGTGGAACATGTCTGACGTCATTCACGGTACAGAACGAACCATCATGTGCCCGAACCTTTATGGGCCCAATTCCAGCAACCTTGCAGACAACTCCATTTGCCATGACCATGTTACCACCATCTATCTGCTCGTAGGTTGTGAAGCTATCCCTGTTCGGAGACATATGGTATGAGGCTACAGTATCCAGAAACCACACATCCCCACGACGTGCCTTCTCATCTACAGCCAAGGCGAGATTGTCTTCAGAACTGTTGTCCACGTCTGCCACAACAATTGAACCTTGTTTCTTCTGTTTCCCTCTTCTCCCGGGATAGTTGTACTTCCAATGCCCCACTTCCTTACAGTTGTGACAAGCATCACCTGGCTGTGGAGCGGGACCCTTGGAATTCTTGTTCGATTTCCCTTTACCAGATTTCTTCTTTCCCTTTCCACCTGTAACAGCCAAACCCGATGCCTCACCACCTGTACCAAATCCGGACCCCTTATGCCTGATCTCTCTCGTATGAAGAGAAGACCTGACATCCTCCAACGACACGCTTTCTTTACCAGCAATACAAGAAACAACAAAATTCTCATATGAACTCGGCAAAGAAACCAACAGGATTAGGGAACCATCCTCGTCATCAACTTGAACATCTATATTACGCATATCCAGCAAAATAGAGTTAAGTTGTTCAAGATGTTCCCTTAAAGGCGTACCTTCTTGCATCCTCAAGCTCAACAACCGTTGCTTGAGATGCAGCTTGTTGGCTAAGGACTTCATCATATACAGACTCTCCAACTTTAACCACAAGCTCACGATAGTCTTCTCAGCGTCGACTTCAATGATGACGTCATCAGACAGTGATAGCATGATGGTCGAGTGGGCCTTCTCCTCCAGGGTATTCCACACATCGTCATTGACCGCTGACTTCTTCTGTTTCGCAGACAACGGCCCCCACAACCCTTGCTGTTTCAATAAAGCCTGCATCTTGATCTGCCATATAGCAAAGTTGTTCTTCCCCGTGAACTTCTCGATCTTCATGTTCACCGATGTCATTCTTCATAATTGAAACCCTATCCTCATTTCCAGCCGCGGCTCTGATAATACTTGTTATAAACGCGCTGCTACGGATCGGGAAATTACCGGAATCGACAAAGCAAGAATACGAAAGCGAGATCGTAAAAATGACACACGATTTACGTGGTTCTCTAATGCGATGTGTGTTATCTAGTCCACCGGCAAGAGCGAGTCATTTTCACTATATCGAGGAGATTACAAATTACAGAGGAGATGAGAAGTATTTATACTTCTCCATGTGGGTCTAAACCTAATCCAATCTGGTAAAGGAAAATGGTTAGAGACCAGGCCCAGAACCCGAACCTAAATAACATTGAGCCCATACACCGCACCCCCACCGGGCGTTGCCCCTGGACCCCACTCGCTGACTGGGCAGCGGGTCTCCCGACTATTCCAGTCGTAGCGGTTGATATTCTGATTCAAGTCATATCAACAGTACTGAAGGTTCTTAGTCGAAACCATAGAACCTTAGGTTTTAGGGTGAAGATGTAGGACCTCATGATGTGTTTGCCACCACCCAAAAAGCCTTTTCCCCCATGTCCAAGACAATCACCAGTCATTTGAACCCATGTCTAAGACCTCCAGACAAGCCAGTGATGACAACCATTCCGTGAACTCTAGCATTTAGAGGTTGTTGCCGTGTTGTTGAGACGATAGGGCCGAGTGTTGATGATTGTACCCATTCTTTGCACCAAAAGTTCCCGACCCCACTGGTCAAGAGAGTGAGTGATTCATTCTTGTTTTGCATGTCATATCATACCCCGGTGAGGACCTTTGTTGCCCATCCGTTTATTCCTTGGACTTGAACTCTATGCATGGTTAGTTGTGGTTGGTAAGTAGTATTGTTAAAACTTGCATTGATTCATGAACAAGGTGCGAACTTTTCATTTTCCCGTTTCTAGGAGCCTCGAATGTCGTTTGTGGTGGATGTCGGTATTGCTTGCAACTGTCCTTGTGTTAATAGCCAATAGCCATTTGAGATTCACCACTTTTTGCCCTTTGATTTGTCCCCAAAGCATTTTGATAGGTTGAGATATTACCTTGTGTGAAATGGTTTGCTTGGGGACAAACAAATGTCTAAGTGTGGGGGAGTGATTCGGGCCTAAGTTCAGACATTTAATCCTCGTTTCCCTTGGGCATTTGTGGCATTCGAACTCCTAAAAGGATGGTTTTACGCTAAGTTTTGTTTGTTTCCGTGTGTTTCAGGATCTAACAGGTGAAACCAGTCCCAGAGTCGAAAATTGGAAGAAAAGGGGGGTGATTCAGGCCATGTTCACGGTCTCCTATGGCCGTGAACTGAAGCCATAAACCATGAACCGCGAAGCGTCCAGGGCGAATTCTGAAGTTACTGATGCAATGCGAGTTCACGGTTAACAAGACCGTGAACTTTGAGTGCAAACCGTGAACTCGTGTGAGCGAAGCGGTGTGTTTCGACACAGCGCTCCGAGTTCACGAAGATGTTGAAGAGTTCATGGCTGTGAACTGAGCCCGATCCCAGTATAAAATGTGAGCTAAAAATAAGAGAGAAATGGAGCCCAAGAGTGAGAAAGCATATTCTTCTTCATATTTTAGAGAGAGAAAGGACGAACCAAAGGAGAAAGGAGGCTAGGGTTTGCTCCAAGTGGTGAATTGGGAAGAATCTCTTCAAGAGAAGATCAACACAAGATCAAAGGGGAATGGAGGCATCACCATGTGGTTTCTACTTCTTTCTTTTCGCTTGGGTGTTGTGAAACCTAACTATTTGCTATGTAGTTGTAGTGTGAATTGAATGATTGTTTATGGGTGTTGTTTAATTTAATGATTGAGGTATTTTTCATGATGATTGTGCATGTTTGTACTTAACAATCTAATTGGCCATTATAACGTAGGTAAGAGGGGAAACCCCCCCCCCCCCCCATCCAAAAGTAGCTCAATTGAGTTGGGATTCCTTGGGCTTTTCAAGCCACCTACGTAGGTTAATGTAGGGGAAACCTCTATCTTGAATTAAACGACTAGGTTAATCGTGATTATCCAACCATCGGTTTGAGGGAGAAGGTAAGTCAACCCTCAATTGCCTTAACCAAGAGGGCTACCCTAGTTTCCTATAATGTATTCCTTGGTTTGGCAATTGAGAGTGTGGTCTTCGACCATAGTTTCACCTCCTAGCGGTTCACGATTGCCTCGCCCATAACGTCCCATTCGAGTCCACTTGCTATGGTAGTAGTTAGGGGGAAGCGATACCCGAATGATCCTTCTCATCTAGAGCTTTCAAACCATTTACCTTTGCTTTGTTTTAATTTAAACCTCGTAGTTTTCAACCAAAAACCAATCCGCCTACATAATGTTCCAAACAATGGAAGTAGGGGTACATGGACCGGCCCGGGTTGATATTTAAACATACTTGCCCTATATTGCACCCATCTAAGGTTTATACTTAGGCCTTAGGTGGGATTTTGTTTTGATATTTGGGATGAGTCATTAGCCAAAATCTTCAAAAAATTTAAATTGGATGTTGACCGTCATATATATATCTTCTCAGTCAATATCATATTGTCAAGTCAATATTACTAACACAACTGCTAACAAAAAATTAATTTTAAGCTAATAATACTAACAAAAGACCATAACGGCCACATAATACATACCCATAGGCCATCTCCGCCAAGGACAAGGTGCGGCATCGCCACCTAGTACCTATAATTAAAACATAAATCTCATATGACTTGTAGAGCATCTTTAGTGGAGATCCGATGGCATTTGAATTTTGTTTTGTCCTTTAAGGGGCCGTTTATGTGTTTCTTTTTTGCAGGTATCTTGCACATCAAATCTATATATCTAGTCTATTGGAACTCGGTTTATAGGAGATGTGGAGTTCGTACTCGCCAAATTGGTGATTCAAGAAGTTTGTCGCAAGAAGACTTCCTTTGCGTTTATTTGTTTTTTTTATATGTTTCTAGGCATACTAACAGGGTTGTCCATTGCGTGGCATACACAGCCCTTGCATCGGTAGCAACCCTTTTGGTTGACTACCGCTCTTTCATTTTCACCTCATTGTAACACCTTATCTATTACGAACTATCTATGACAAAAAAAATACTACTATTACAAATCATAGTGTCATCTCAAAACCCAGATGCTGCGACTGCATCTCTTTTTTCCTTCTTCTTCTTGACTCTACAAACCCTAGAGGCCTCCGAAGCCCCAGCTCTCGCTATGGAGGAACCACCCACCTCTGCGCCCACCGTCTCCAAACTTCCGATTGCAGACTTCAGAAGACAACATGCGCATCCCGTTGATGACGCTTCCACTTTGGCTTCGAGTTTCACATCAACCGGCGGTGTAGAACTTCCATTCTCTAAAGCGTAATGGTATGACGACTTGAATCTTTGAGGGTTGGAATTGCACGACGGACTTGAATCTCGATCATGTCGAACTTGAATCTCTACAAGTCTTGCACTACCGAGGCGAATGATGGAGGCTGCGCTGAAGCGACATCGCATGACGGGCAAATTTCATGGAGGTATTTTTGTGGTACAATAGATCTGATAAAGACAGAGAGAGGGGAGGAGGAGGAGGAGGGAGAGATGCAGTTGGTTATTTCATCGAGAGAGAGGTGGTGGTGAGTGGGAGGGGTGTGTAGAAAGTTATTAACTTTTTATATTGGGGCTTCGACCAATATAACTATATTATCCTTCAATTAATTTTGACCATTGAATTATTAGTTCAATCTAATGGTTGTTTCAAAAGATAGTATTGCACGAATCCATTTGACGGTTAGCATCTAATCTTAGAAATAACTTTCTCCATAAATTTTATGTAGTGTCTTAATAACTATGAAGGCTTACATAAAGTGTTTCCGTACTTGATACATAAGAAATAATTATATTTCTATTAGCTTTACGCAGTGATCCGATTGTAGTAAGGGGTCAAATTTACCTGGCTTTTATGCCATGATCGATTTCTCTAGGGTCTCTCACAACCACTAACTCGGGTGGTGGGAGACAAGTTCTATGAAGATTTAATTCTACCTTGTGTCGAGGCTTCTTGCCCCGATCTCATAGGCAACAAGGACCCTGGGTAATGACCTTCTAATGCCTCCTAGCCATAAGTCTATTTATGGACTTTCTATTAGAAGTTTGGGGAGAGAGGACGGTTAAATGATGCATCTATGAGTCCCGATTTGCCTTTTCCAACGTGGCCACCACGAAAAGCATTTTCCTTGAATAATTTGACAGCTTCTGATCGATCTTCCAGTGCTATTTCAATGGTTCGGTAGCTGTTTTAGGCGTCATCTTTTATCCTCTCTTCATTTCTCATTTCTGGCTCCTAGTAGTCGAGTCTTGATGCCCCTTTACACGTATAAAGTGGTCAACTAGGTTGCTATGCCTTGAACATATTCGAAACACTACCAAGAGTGCATCAAATTGATAAAAGCAATCCTAGTGCTACAAGAATGCACTTAGTGATCATTAAGCAAATCCAAGATATTATGACGTTGGAAGTATTAAACATGAAGTTTTGGTCATAATATGGGGGGGGGGGGGTCTAAATAATAACTTTTCACATGTCATCAAATAACCCCACATCAATTGTTTGTCCCGAAGAAAAAGTTACTCACAATTAGGGCTGGGCATGCGGACGGATCATCCGCGGGTTTGGGCCGACCCACCCGCATTTGACCCGAATTTCATTAAGTGGGTGGGTCTGTGGGTGGGTGACGGATTGCGATGGGAGCCATCCGCCGGGTGGTGGGTGGGTTGTGGGTGAGTGTGCGGGTTTCCCGCTCAATCCAACAGCAAAAAGATCAAAGTCGTTGGCGATAGAAAGAGGAGAGTGGAGACGTTAGATATAAACTCGGACTGCTCCTGGAGTTTGAATATCAAAGCCAACCTTCCAAATAGAGATCCCCTCTTCTTCCCTTTACTTTTTCCTCTAATTCTTGTGCCTAGATCCCCGCAGACCCGCTCTTTTCTTTGTGGAATTATTTTCCTTAGTTCCTTGCACCTAATAATCGTCTCAATCTGTAGAAAACTCTTTCATAATAGAATTTCTATCCAATTTAAGAACTAATTCGACATTTTTCGCCCTATTTCAACTTCTTGTTTCCCTCGATGATTCTCTTCACCCATTATCATGTCAAGTTGACCCCTTTATATTATATACATTGTGATGTGGGTGAACCCACAAACCCACCCGCATCATCCACCATCCGCCCGACCCAACCCGAGACTAAATGTGGGTGGGTGGTGGGTTAAAAATTATCAATCCGTTTAAGCGCGGGTGGGTGCATTTTATGGTCAAAATCCACCCGACCCACCAAATGCCCACCCCTACTCACAATCATACAACTCATGAGATCTTCATGATTACACCTGACTTATTATAGTAGGAAGTGGATCATAAGCAACTGACAAGTCAACCCTCGCACTTGAGGTTAGATCAAGTGCATGAAGCGCATGTCTTGTAAGGAAAGTTTGGCTTATCCTTACCAATTGAAATTTCCCTTCTCCTTCGAGTCTTCTAGAGATTTTGGGTCGAAGCTCTCTATTTTAGGCATGTAAGCATATCTCCACCATTGACAATTCAGAGAGTTTGATCTCTCTTTTGTTTTTCTAGCGTGCCATCTTTGTAATTTTGGAGTACAATTGAGTTTATATGCGGCCTTGATCAACCAAGAGCAATTTTTGCATCATAAAACTTGCGTTAGGTCTTTATTTAACTCCTTCTACTTGATCCATGAGGAGGGCAATGAAACGACGAGTTTCGGATGCACACAAAAATCGTCATATGCTTGAATGAAAAGTAGAAAGAAATTGTTACTAAACCACACCCCACACTTAATATAGGGACATGTCCTCATTTGACTCAATAGAAGCAGAGCTCCATGAAATTGTCTATTTCTCCTCTCGATTTCGTCCTTTAACAGAAAGAAAAGAAAAATAAAAATCGAGAGAGAAAGTATGTTATCTCGTCATAGCGCAGAAACTCCAATCAAATGACGGAGTTTCAAGTTCTCATAAGGAACATGTATAAAGCAAGGTTATAACTTATAATCACATTGGAACCCATGTTGTCATAAGCGAAGAGCACTATTTGTGTCTAATCGTTAGTCCATCCAGTTATTGTCAAATAAGGGTGACCAATACCCACCGATCGATGCGTGACCCTCACTTTTTAAAAGTATTAAAATGATTCTAGAAGGGACTGTCAAAGCATGGATCATGTAACATCCTAAGTGGATCTTTGAAAAGTGATGGTCGTTAGATAAAGACTAATACAACCACCGCACACTTTAGTGTTGATAATCGGCTTTAATATATCGGATTCGTGAGCTTTATGTGACTATCTTATTGTATGTTTAAGCCGATTGGTGCTATTTTAAGGAGAATTAATACGTAATGGTTGAAAAGCCATTACCATTTTGTGTTGGAGTTTTGGTGTGTGTTTAGGTGAAAAGATAGATAAAATGGCAGCACTAGAACTTCCAAAGCAGCAGATGGCGGGAGGAATTGGATCCATGTTTCTTCCACAACAAGTAATTGGGCCAAAGCCCAAATTGATGGAGGCAATTAATTGGACGAGCTGGAGGAAAATTGATTTGGGCCTTGGGAGACGCAAATGGACCGGGGAAAATGAGAAAATAAGTGGGCCAAAGTTTATTAGGAGCTGGGCATTTTTCTGGTGGAAAGGGAACAAGGTTTTTGGGCCGGGGATTGTTTGGGAAAGGCCTGGGCGAAAAAAAAAGAATTAATTGAAAGGCAGCTGGCGGCGGAAGGGAATTTTGAGCGGAGAATTCTTGGAAAGCAGACGCAGCGCAGAGGGCTTGGTGACGGGAGGAAAAAGGCGAATTTCGATCGACTTCTCCAAGGCTTGAGCTGAGTTCAACGAGAGCGATTAGTTGGTTGGATTTTATGAACCGAACTAGTTGTTTATTGTTGATTTAGAACATGATGATCAAAACCCTATTGTTTTATCTCAATTTCATCATGAACTAAACCCCAATTTCTGGGGGAAACACCATAGGATGTAACTATTTCTTGATTTGATGGATTGATTCGTATTTCTTTTCTTCCAATCTCTATTGCATGAAATTACTTAATGCTTTGTGTTGACTGGCCACCAATACAATGAATCGTAGTTAATTAGGTTATTAGCGACAGTGAAACCCTAATAACTGAACATATTTCATGTGACAGTGGATTAAATAAGGTGCTATGCGGTCTTAAATAAGGTGCTATGCGGTCTTAAATAGGTTATCGATCTTCAGACTAAATAATTAAGTCAATGAGCTACGACAGTAGGATTTGATTTAATTGTTTAGTACGTAGTAATTCTCGACAGGGATAACTAGCACATTAGTGATATCCTGGCTGTAGAGAATTGGATTAAACTGATTGGAATATGTGAATTAATCTGGATAGGATAGGTAGTGAATCCCGGTGTTTCTCCCAGAGCTTTCTCCCATTGATTTCCACCCGACAATTTTAATTTTCTTATTTTGTTTAATTATTTTGCCATTATATAATAGTTTCATCACTCAAATCATTTTCACCTATAGTTTGCTCCATAGAATTGATAGAAATTAAGGTTGTACCAGTCCCTGAGAGACGATACCCGGACTTTCCGGTTTACTACGATATAGGAAATTGGCATATACGCTTTTGCCCTATCAAGTTTTTGGCGCCGTTGCCGGGAACTGCCATACCTTATTTTTTGTTGTTTTTTGTGAGTGAACTATTTTGATCTGGGTGTTAGTGTGCAGAAGAATTTTTAGGTTTATCCTCCTCGTGCATGCCTAGGAGGACGACCGACGATTTACTGCCACTAGATTTGGAGATCGAGAAGACCTGCCGACAGAACAGGAAGCAGGTCAAGTTAGGGAAGCAGCCAACCACAACTCCTAGGCCTTCCCTAACCCATAGTCGTCGACAGAGAGGACATGCTTCATCACCTGTCATCCCTACACCACCGACACCACCACCTCGCATTATCGAGCCTGTCATCATGGCAGAACATGATCGTTCAATCAGGGCTCGTTTGAATCGACAGACTGGAGCCCGAGCTTCATGTGTTGTCATTCCGGCTGGGGATGCAACCATGGAGATTACCCCAACATTTATCAACATGATCACCAATGGGTATACTTTCTCAGGGGCTAGCAATGAGGATCCTCACGAGCATCTCCGCCGGTTTGCGAGCATATGTGATACGATGAAGAGCCCGACTGTGTCTGATGATGCAATCCGTCTTCGGATGTTCTCATTCTCTCTGATAGGGAATGCATCACACTGGTTTCAGAACTTAACAACACATTCCATCACGACATGGGCTCAGCTTGAGAAGGTCTTTCTGGATAAATACTTCCCACCTGCCTTGGCAATGAAGAGGCAAGAAGATATTGTTACTTTTAAGCAGGCTGATGATGAGAGTCTGACTGAGGCATGGGAGCGCTATAAGGGGCTATTGATGAGATGCCCAAGACATGGTCTTGAAGATTGGA